CTCACTTCTCACATGTTTTGTGCTGTGCTCTGTGCTGCTAGCTGCTACTCTTACCACTTTTGTGATGGTACTCACTCACGGAATGTAACGATATTGTAAAGCATATTATATCATATTATCATATCATGTCTTCAAAAAAAAAAGTGATGTTTGGTCAGCTTTTGAGGAGTTATCGGGTTCTAGAGCAAAATGCAAGTTTTGCTCTCAAATCTTATCATTTAGGGGAGGATGAACATATAATTTGATGAGACATCTTGAAACAAAGCATCCTGGTTCCGTAGACAGTGTATGTAGGAAGGGCGGCCAGAGTTCATCAGTAAGAGATGAAAATCAACTATCAGAAGCCAGTCCATCTAAACCCTCCACCTTTAGTTCCAGTAACCAGCAATCAGGAAACATAACAGCGTTTCATGTAGCAACTAAAACACAACATACTTTGAATATGAATTATTTTTTTTATGAACCTGTGCCAGTGAAAAAGAAAGATGAGATAAACCGGTGTCTGGTCAGAATGATTTCCAAACAATATCTACCATTTCAAATTGTGCAAAGTGAGGATTTTAAGCAGTTTATTGAAGAATTGAACCCTGTCTACTCACTCCCCTGTAGAAAAACTGTATCAAAAGCATTGGTACCTCAATATTATAATAAAACAAGAGAGGAGGAGTTCGATAAAATACAGTCAGCGGAATGTGTTTGCTTAACAGCTGATGCATGGACATCAGCATCAAATGAAAGTTATTTGGCCATCACAGCCCACTATTTACATTCTAATAAGATTAACTCAAACTTATTAGAGTGCTATAATTACACTGAGAGGCATACAGCTGTAAATTTATGTGAAGGACTCAAGAGAATTGCACATGAGAAAATAATTGCCATTGTTTCTGATAATGGGGCAAATATAGTAGCAGCTGTGAAGAAAACTGGCTCGAACCACATTCCTTGTTTTGCACATATAATTAACTTAGTGGTGCAATCATCTTTAGAAAAGATACACAGTTTTAGACAAAAAATAAAAACCATAGTTGATTTTTTTAGGCGTAGCCCACAAGCTACTGAAAAATTAAAACGAATGGAAATTCAACACGGGCTTCCTGAATTAAAAGTGAAGCAAGATGTGGCTACAAGGTGGAATTCCACATTTGACATGTTCAAGCGCATACTAGAAATAAAACAACCATTGATGTCAGTAATTGCAATACATTACAAGAACCTACCAAATTTATCAAACACTGACATGAAAATTTTGGAAATATGTTGTCAGATATTAAAAGTGTTCAAGGAAGTAACAGACGAAATTTCGTCAGAAAAAGAGGTGACTGTTTCAAAAATTATATTGTTTAGCAATTCACTTTCAAATATTGTAGGAAATTTCTGGTGGATAATCCAGAAATTCCAGAAGAGTGTAAACAGCTGACTGAGGCTCTATTATCGTCTTTACAAAAAAGGTTTAGCAATATAGAATTCAACAAAATGTTTGCTGAAGCAACAATTTTGGATCCACGACTTAAAAAATTTGGATTTGATAGTAAAACAGCTTTCGAATGTGCAAAAAAAAATTTAATTAGTTATGTCACCAGGAATACGCCATCATCAAGTGAAGTCACCAAGAGAAATGATGAGCAGATTCAAACAGATGGAGTTGAATTAACCAAAAAAACTACAAAATCAGCTATATGGGAATCTTTTGATTGGGCTATTGCTAATGTGGTGTCTAGTGTTAATCCTTTAACAGCTGGAATTATAGAAGTAGAAAAATATCTAGATGAGCCATTATTGCAGAGAGATTGTGACCCATTCATGTGGTGGGAACAAAGGAAACATGTATATCCCAGACTATATGTGCTTATGAAAAGTAGGTTAAGCATAGTAGCTACTTCAGTCCCCAGTGAAAGGATATTTTCTAAAGCTGGTCAAACTCTTACAGAAAAAAGGAGCAGTCGTCAAGGACAAAAAGTTTCCATGTTACTCTTTTGGAATTCCAATTTGTGATGATTATTTTTATACTTCAAATGCATACCAAAGATGTGATTAAGTTTTTGTTTAATATATTTCTACAACTTGTTTATTGAAATATGTAAATTATTTTTTGTGAAAAAGTCATATTTTTAGTTTCATTTATTTATTAAAATAATGTTCCTAAGTCATTACTTTCTGTGAATAAGTTTTTATGTTTGGTACATTTATTTTTTTTTTTTATCTGTTTGATAGGTTATTTTATTGCAAGCATTCAGGCTGTGATTAAGTTTCTGTTTGATGTATGTTTTATTTTGTTTTTTATGAATTGATATTCAAGTTTAATAAAATATGGTTCCTAATTACAGTTTGTTTTTTGTAAATATATTATGTTGCAGGTATATTTTCAATATTCCTTATATTTCATTAAATTTATTTTTCTCTATTTTTTTCTTTACTAATTATCAATATGGCAGCTAAAGGGTATAAGTACTTTAAAGATCCTATCCAAAATTTTAATATAAATTATCTCTATGACATGGACATGAAAAAGCTCAAAACTAAAAATTTTAACTTGTTCAAGTCACTGTTAAGTGAAAGATTTAACTTACCTTTTAAATTTATAAACCGTTAGTAAAACTGAATAAATATTTCACTTACATTTTTTAACACTCCCATTAAATTGACTTGACTCTTAACTTACACAAAAATGTATTATTATAAAAATTATAAAACATTCAAAGATTCAAATTTCATTCAAAATTGTCACCATTGACAACTGACATTGTCGAAGAGTCGTTCATTTTGAACGACTCGTTCGCGAACGACACACGACTACGGTGGATGACTTTAAATCTTCGCTTCGCTTGGAACAATCAATAACAAATATAGCATGAGTTTTGAATGTAGAATAGTCAAGTAATCCGTGTTTATCGTTATCATTTGAATACGTTTTGGCAAATTGCGAATACATATGATGAGTTTCCATATATTTTATTTTTAAAATCTAACTTCATATCTTCATGAGGATAATAGTCCGAATTAATCATTAACTTTATAGTATGGTTGTAAGATTTGCGTTATCTAATATGTGCTTATCCGCTTTTGCAACATCTTTTCTGGCTGTTTGAAAGGCAACAATAACAAATCTTGGAACTTCTATTGCCGAACTTGTCTTTACTGACCATATTTTTTCGTGGCATTATGAGGTAAGGACGGTAATTCATGTATTGACCACTTTCTATAACCCATAAGTATAGAAGTATCATTCTTTATCTTTTTAAGTACATCCAATTTTAGTGCATCATTTAGAAATATGTGTTTAACTTTAAGTTCAATAGAATTTATCTGTTAGCCGTTGCGTCACCAATGACCTTTAGACAATTATGATCGTGTCTGGAACGAACCAAACGTACAGTTTGCCTTCCAAACATTGGTTTTCTATAATGAAGAAAAAAACCGAGAAGATGCCATAAGGGTATGCGAAATGAAAACGTCATATCCGCATTCAAAATTGCATTGGATGGAAAATTCCATCCTGCTATAGCCGTATGGCTACTATCGTTAGGATTGTAACACAAATAACCTCTTATCATGCTCACAATACCAGGATCACGTACACGATCTAGTTCTTTTCCATTCAACTCGTATGAAATTGAATCGAATATAAAAGCGCCGGCATTATTGACTAATTCTACTTTAGCTGAAGTGGTAGTAGAATTATGATGGACTGGCAACATAGTATCCCAAAGATTTTAAGAACAAAACGTTTGTAGGCATTAGAGCTTTAGTTGAAGAATGTCTTGTCTTCATAAGATGATTAAGTTATTTTCTTAAGTTCCAATCTAACAATTATCTCTTCCCCTAAAGTTAACAAGCTCTCCGTTTTGATCCAATATACGTAAACTAATGTTATTGATAGTATGTGTTTCGGATACAGGTAAATATATCAAGTTACGGGGCTGAATGTCTATAGCATAACCAGCATCTACGTCAATGGAAAATTCGAAAATTGTGTGCGACGGTTTGCTGTTATAGAATGAACCTGTTGTAATATTACAGTCAATGTGTACAGTAATCACTTTAACTATTTTCACTGGTAGATCGACCGAATTTTTTTTTTTTTTTTTTTACTCCACTACCACGAAGGCCCAGGC